GGAACTTGGCAGGTGAAAGCCATGAGGCAGGGACACATTTATCTGTCCAGTGTGGTCTTAGTGCCAATGTGGTGACGGCTGGCACTTGGTGGAAAGAGAAAGATGGCTTTTTAAATTATGCCTAAACTCAAGGGAAAGATGTCATTCATCATACTCTAACGAGCGAGCAAGGCAAAGCCATGAGAAAGAAATAGCCTAGGTTAACACATGAGAGAGACACCAGCTCATGGTCTCTGCCAAGCTGGCTTGGAGCCCCTGTCTTGCCTCCAGTGAGTGCTGGATAAACATTTTTAGTGTCTAGGATTTTGAAAGTGACATTTGTTCTTAGAAAAATCTTTCTAAGGCTGGTCAGAAAAAAAATCTTGTACAGAATTCAAGAGACTTTGTGTATTAAAAATACATATATGCTTGTAGTAGAACAGCCTATTTTATATAAGCAAGCTGAGAACGGTGGGTAACTCTATGAACTGGAAGTAATTAAAGACTATTCTCTTTATATAAATATTCACATTCAGAATACTGCTGCCCTTCTGACTGCTTCCAAAAGCAATCTAGGCCATTCAAATGGAAATATTTCATATATACACAAATATTAAACTTGTATAGATATTTGATTGTATTTTTACATGGCCTTTTTTATTATTTCTTTCAATCAGTATCTTTTTTCAAGGCATATACTTTATTTAGCTGGACTCTGTGCCTTATTCAACAGAAGCAGAAGAGTCATTCTCTGGAGAAGGCTAGAGCCTGGATAAAAACAGTCTTTAATTTGAAAGCAGGTGGATGAGTTCTCCAGTTAACTTCTTGTGTGTTCTTGCTTAGGTGACTTTACTTAAGATGGGAAATTGGATTCAGTGATCCCTAAAATCTGCTTATACTCTATTATCTTACAGTTTTTCAACCAAAAAGTATTTATTGGGGTGGAATAGTTTTCTGGAAGAAAATCTAAGAAACAGAACTAAGTAAGATAAGAATCTTATAGGGAAAGTACAGTCTCTTAGGAGGGAGGGTGAGTCCTGAGAGAAAACTTATAGAAAAAAAAACCCTAAATATTCAGCATCAAAAAATAGCTATACAAAGTCAACTTTTCCAAAGAGGACATCACGGGGTACTCTAAAACTCTAACTCTGAGATCTGTGTGAAAACCTGTAACTTACATGTTATGATGTGTACTCTACACTCCTGTACAGCTACAACAGAAGGCTGAAGGAAACACATCACGGTACTAAGAGCAACTGCGTTCAGGCTAACAGACTAGGGGTGACCCTGGCTCCCTTCTGTATTCTACTTTCCTTGTTTCTAGAAACACTGAGTAGAATCTGTCTCTGCTCCTATTCTATTGCTGTGAAGAGACACCATGATCAAGGCAACTCTTGTAAAAAGAAATCATTTAATTGGGGTTTCCTTACAATTTTAGAGGGTTAGTCCATGATCCTCATGGCAGGAAGCAGACAGACATGGGGTTGGAGCAGTAGCTGAGGGCTTTACATCCTGCTCTGCAGGCAGCAGGAAGAGAGGGGAGAGGAGAGAGAGAGAGAGAGAGAGAGAGAGAGAGAGAGAGAGAGAGAGAGAGAGAGAGACTGGGTCTAGACTGGTCTTTTGAACACTCAAAGCCTACCACTAGTGACACACTTCCTACAGCAAGGACACACCTCCTATTTCTCCCCAAACAGTTCACCAATGGGTACTAAGCATGCAAACATATGAGCCTGTGGGGACCATCTTTATTCAAACCACCAAAGTATCCTACACTGGAAACTTAATATTAAAGGAATAATACCAACAATGTTCAATCAGAGAATGGAAAGATAGTGTCAATGGCAAGCACTGTATTTGCTTTAAAAGACAATATAGTATTTATACACATAGTGAGGAGAAAAGCAAGGCAACATGGAATCCCAAGTTAGAGCTGTACTTGTGGCCTGGCTGAGACATAGATAGTGAAGAGTTGTGAGGAGGGCATGGCATCTGAACCTAAAGTCAGCCTATAGTCAGCCCTCCACAGTTATTGGTTCCATATGTATGGAGTCAACCCATGGCACATTGAAACTTAAAGAGAGAGCCGGGGAGATTTGAAGTTACCAGAGTACTTGGCATACATAGAAACCTGAGTTTGATCCCCAGAACTCACAGAAAAAAGCTGGATGTGGTAGCATGTGCTTAAAATACCAAGATTATGGAGGCAAATACAAATAAAGGATTGGGGCTTACTGGCCAGCTAGCTGAGGCAAATTGGGCAATCCCAGGTAAAAGTGAGAGATCTTGTCTCAAAAATCAAGGTAGACAGCCTTTAAGAAATAAGATTTAAGGCTGAATTCTGGCCTCAACACAAGTGTGTGCACATGTGCACCTTTACCTGCACACATGTACACACATAAAATCTTTCAAAAAATGCACATAGCTGTTTATGTGTACTATATAATTAATCTTGTGCTAGCTGTATTTGTACCAAACATACACAGACTTTTTTCTTGTTCCTATTCCCTGAACAGTAAAGTATAATAGCTATTTACATCCATTTGTGTTGTATTAAGCATTATAAAGGCTGAGTCTGGAATGTGCCTCATTGACAGAGGATTTACTTAGCATGAGTGAGGCCTGAAGGGGAAAATGTTGAAGCTAGAAGGGGGAAATGTTGAAGTTAGACCAAGAATTATAAAACTTTTCTTTGTAGCTAGAGTTTTCCTGCCTTGCCCACAGTCAGGACAAATCTCTGTCACCCACCAGTCCCACAGCAGCTCAGACCCAACCAAGTAAACACAGAGACATATATTGCTTCCAAAATGTATGGCCATGGCAGGCTTCTTGCTAACTGTTCTTACAGCTTAAATTAATCCATTTCTATAAATCTATACCTTGCCACGTGGCTCGTGGCTTATCGGCATCTTCACAGGTTGCTTGTCATGGAGGCGGCTGGCAGTGTCTCCCCCCCACCCCCAACCCCCCACCCCCTGCCTGGCCACTGGCCAATCAGTGTTTTATATATTGACCAATTAGAGCAATTTAACATACAGACCATCCCACAGCACTTTTCTATAGAGAAACATTGTATATATCTGTCCTGGCTAGTTTTATGTCAATTTGACACAAGCTAGAGTCATCTGAACTGAGAGACCTCAATTGAAAAAAAGGCCTCCATAGGATCCAGCTGTAGAGTATTTCCTTAATTAGTGATTGGTGGAGGAGTTCCCAGCCCAGTGCAGGTGGTATTCTCACTGGGCTGGTGGTTCTAGAGTCTATAAGAAAGCAGGCTGAGTGAGTCAATAAGCAGTACCCCTCCATGGTCTCTACATCAGCTCCCGCAGGCTATTGATCTGTTTGAGTTTCTGTCCTGACTTTCTTCAATGATAGACTTCATGTGGAAATATAAGCCAAATAAACCCCTTTCCTCCCCAGCTTGCTTTTGGTCATGATGTTTCATTGCAGTAATAGTAACCCTAACTAAGATAGTATCAGATACACACACACACACACACACACACACACACACACACACACACACACACACATTTTAGACTCTGAAGGTCATGCAATTTCTGTTTCAACCAGAAACTGCTTCTGTTATAGCACAGGTGTAATTTTTAAGCAAATGGGTTAGGTCGTATATTTATAAAACTTTATTAAAAGGTAGGGAAGAGTAAGCTCAGTTACCAATCTCTTAAGCCAACTAAACCCTTACCTAAGTCAAATGTCCCATTGGACTTTCAAGCTTGGAAAGTCTTTTCAGAAAGAACTGAAGACCTTGAAGGCCTCACCCAAAACTATATAAGAGGAGTTTGGCTAGCTTTGCTGGTCATATGAGTTGAAAGTTAAATTTTCAGATAGTCATCTCAAATTGACTTTGCCTAGCAAACTGCAAGTTTGGGTTTAATGCCCAGAGCCCAAGCGAGAACACTGAAGAATAAATAGTCCTGAACACTGGATGAGTTTAATGATTCAGGACAAGTCATTTGTTCCATTGGAAGACAGAATCTGGGCAAAAAGACGAGGGAAAATATTTGTAATGAATTTAGCTCTGGGCCTGGGAGGTACGTGCCTGATAAACAGCGAGTAAATTATTCTCTTATTCTGACGTATGCTAATTCCCTCAGTCTATACAGCTATACATCAGACACTTATTGAGAACCCCTTATTATGTATCAGGAGCTCTACAAGTGCTTGACAAACCAACCCTGAGTAAGACATATAATAATACCGACAACAGGGACATGGCCATTTAGTGACTTGTCACAGCTTCAGCTGCTACATGCTCAGCTGGAATTAGAAATCAGGGGTTCAGGACCTGGAAGGTAACACTGAACAGAACCCTGCATGTGGCGGGGGGCAGTTTTCCAGAAAGAGCTGTCTTGTGCATGAGTGGGTCAAGCTGGTCAGAGATTGTGTCAGGTTCAGGCTGTGGTTGAAGGCAGCCCTGTGTCGTTACAAAAAGTTAGCGTGGCAGGGAAAGAGAATGTCAGCTGGGAGGCAAGGAGGCTGGAGTCAGGTCCTCAGCAGGGTTAGAAAACCAGCAGAAGGATTTAGACCTTCACCTTCAAAGTGGGAAATAACTTCATGAGAACTACATTTTAGAAAGAGCAGCAAATAGTTCACTTAATGGTCCATTCGTGAGATTTAAGTAGTATTTGATTTTTCATTTTTATTTATGTCTATGTGTGTATACGTATGCACTAAGGTGCCTGAGGAGGCTGGAGTCACAGGCAGTTGTGAGCCCTCTAACATGGGTGCTGTGCTGAGAAGTGAACTCGTCCCCTAAAAACCATGTTACAACGTGAGGGCAGAACTACCCTCACCAAAAAGGACAGCTGTAATAGATCAACCTATAAGGTTGTGGCTAAAGAATTAGGGGGAAGGGTTGCTGACCTACACTTTTCTCCCTCCTTACCCTGCCAACTCTGGCCTTACAATATGGTTCTGCCCGAAAGTGGTAGCATAGTTTTTTCTCACGGATTCCTTGGCTTTCACCAGGAGTTATAATGCTCTTTCCTCCTTTCCCTTTACAGAGTGTGCTTTGACTGAGGTTGGTTTTCCAGTGGGTCCATTCTCCCAGATACCTGCTGACACCGGTGAGTGATACCATTCTTCTCTTCCAGTTGCTCACCTTTGACCAGAAGCCAACTTAAGGAGTTGGTTTGGTTCATTTTCTTTACTCTGGGGTCATTTTGAATGTATGCTTCACAAACCTGCCGCCCAAGTCTTCCAAGTTCTGTTGGTACCTGCAGCTCCTGGATTGCCGGAGGCACACAGGTGCAGCTCTGCACCACCCAAAGACCAAAGTGTAACAAATGGAGTTTCAGGCTCCTGGTTGACTTTCATTCATGAGTCTTTAATCACATCACACTGGGCAGCTACATGGTCAGGCGGTGTCTGGATAGGAGGCAGAAGTGAGGGATTGGGCTTAATTGGTTACAGCTCACTCAGTACAGTGTCAGCCTTTTTGATTTAGTTGCTGCCTGGGTTTGACTGATTGCTGTAATTGGCTGAGGCTTAGGTATTTGTTTAAGAAGGAAACTGCTCTCAGGTTTTCAGTCAGCTCCAGTCTGCAGCCTTTTGTTATTTAAGGACTCAATGCAGAGGCTGCCTCAGACCAAATTCTGGTTCACTGAACCACACCTTTGCCATAATGCATGCACCCCAAGCCACAGTGGCTTATCTAAAAAATTGTGTAAATCCTGTGGACATGAAGTGTGTATGAAATTCAGATCCTTCAAAGAATATTTATGTTAAATAGAATCATGTTACAGCATATCAAATATATTTGAAAAATAATCATCTTTAAATGTTTAAATGCTAGTGAGTGAGTTTGCCCCAGACTGAAAGCAATCAAAAGTTGGACAGGAGAATGAGGCATCTGAAAACATTGCTGACTCTGATAAAAGCTGATTCTCATGGAAGACTGGACTCTGTTTACATACGCTTTCTGTTCTGGTTTCTGGGGCATCCTTGCTGTTGGGCAGGAGGGACTTCTGTGATTTCTACAGGGGGGCTTGACTAGAGTTTTGTTCACTGGGAAGGCCACTACTGAGAGGTGGGACATGAGAAAGCATGTCTTTTGTTTCTGTGAAGAAAAGAGCTTATTCTAGAGACAGAGTTGTTTCAAGACTTTAGTAGAAAATATTTCCCCGCATATAAGTGCAGATTGGGAATAATGAATGTACTTAAAACATACAGTTAACATAACGCCTTTTTTTTTTTTCCATTTTTCATTCCCACACATTTTGCCTGTAATACTAGCATTAATTTTGGAAGAAAGCAGCAGATTGGAAAAATATAATTCACTTTACAGTAATTGGTTTCTTTTTGTGGTTTTTTTCTCCCCCATATTAACACCTTTGTCAGTGTTTCCATGCCCCTTTATGTACCCCTGAAGCAACAATTTTTGAATTTTCTGGGGCAGCCCTGCTTTCCAGCTTGTTGTTCCCATTGTGAGACATAGAATCAGAGACCTGCGCTCTGATTTTCGCTTCAGAACACAAAGTCCCAGTCTGTGCGTTCTCCTGACCTCTCTACATTTCCCTCCATCCCTTCCCACGTTCCCATCAGCCTGGATCACACATAATTTACTAGTTTTGCTTCAGATTCTAAACCAATTCCATTCCTATTCTTCCCACCCAAGCAGAGTGCAATCGTTTTTGGATTGCTGGCACATTGCTGAAAACATTGGAATACTCAAGAAAATTCCATTTTTTAATGTCATACAAAAACTAACTCAGAATTTCAATTACATTTGAAAAACATATTGAACACATCTGAAAACCCCCAAATGCCATCTGAAATAAGCTGTGAGGGACACTTCCACTTCGGGTGTGCTTGTCAGCACACCTGCAGGAGATTATTTGCATCTTTACCATATTGTTTAACCCAGTTCAATTACTAAAATTAATATTGAACAGCAAATGTTTCTGTAGAGTTATGGATGTAATAGGGAAATAGCACATTAACCTCCTCTCCAATTCAGCTTCGCCTGTCTAGGAAAGCCGGCTAGAAGGATGTGTCTTTTAATTCAACACCAGCATGTCTGTAAATACTGTATAAGACAATAGGAGTGTGAGTTTAGTAACCAATGATTCCTCTTTCATGTGCCGTTTTGTTGGGTCATTTGAGTGGTATGGTAGATACTTACTTTTCAATGTGAGACCCCCTAAAAGCTAAAAGCACCCATCTAAAAATCTTAATGTGTGAGGGATTCATTTTATTTTTGAACCTAAATTCTACTAATTTAGTATTAAAGAAAACTAGTAATTTTTCTCATTTGCCATTTGCTGTTAATGTTAAATATTCTAGTTGATACTTGATAATTCACACTTCATTAATTTTATATTTATGACTGGGTGGTAGTAGCTTACAACTTTAATCTGAGTACGTGGGAGGCAGAGGTAGGTAGATCTCTATGAGTTTGAGGCCAGCCTCACACTTACAGAGTGAGCTCTAGGAAAGCCAGGAATACACACACAGAAACCCTGTCTCAAAAACAAAACAACAACAACAAAAAAAAACTTAAATGTTACTGCACTGATGCAATATGAACCTTATAAAATTATATTATTATATAATCTGTAGAGATGTTTCTCTCATGTGTGTGTACATATTTATATGTTATTAGTTCCAGGATTGAACTAGTAGTATCTGTATGGAGATGTATAACAATATAAAAGTTTACAAATCTTCCTCTTCAGAACTAGATTTGTCTTTGTTGTTGTTGTCACTTTAAACAGCTGTTTTTTTATTAGATTCTAGAAATGATAGGGTGGCATCTTGGACAACCACTTTACAACGGAGCCTCCAAAAAGCCAGAATTAAGCTGGCCATGGATCTAGAAATACCACACTGTTCCTTAACATGAAGAATCAGTTAAAAACTGAACTGTCAATAGCTTTACTGGGAGTTCCTGGGCCCTGGGCAAGGGTGAGTGGATATATAAAATTATCCATAAAATCTCCTCACATTTATCCACCCATACACTAACAGTATCTCAGTCTAATCTTTTTTAACAATTAGGAGCCTTTAACTCCCTCTTGACTGTTAGTGGTGATATGCTGTACCATGGGGTGAACCTGTTATTCATTCCTTCCCCTTTGAGATCTTGACAACTGACAATGTGAGTTCAAGGCAAATAAAAGAAAACCCACACCATCTACATTAACCTCGTGGTTAAACTCACATTTCAGTCCTGTATTTTCTTCACTAAACTGTTGATCATTACCAGTCGGTTTCTGATGAACATCAGCTTTTGCGTGTGGTAGATAGACCACAGGTACCAAACTTGTCATTCTTGGCACGTGATCTGTTGGCATCGGTCCCTGTGAGATGTGAAGTTCCCTGAGCCACCCCGGGATGTTTGGTGGTTTTCAATGCATTTAATTGCCCCATTGGAAGGTGTGTGTCATCTTCTGCAGGAATTAGCCTTTTGTTATTGTGTGACACATAGTACAGTTTTTCTGAGGACATCCTGAGCAACGATTATATCTAAATTCAGTGTTGAATTCAGCTGCCTAAGTGCTGCCCATGCAAAAATCTCATTCTGCTGTCAGACTCCACAGACCTACTGTCTCTACTTTTGCCAAGTTCATACATGTACAACTACCAACAGCTCTGCTGAAAGTTACTCCTCTCCCTAAAGGAACTACAATGGTGTTTGTTTTTTCTTTTTCTCTGACATCCCTTATAATGCACACCCTCATATTTCAGAATCATTAAAATATGAAAAAGACACATTGTGCTTAGAATTAAGGAAATAGAGCAATTAACATTTCAAAGGACAAATATCATCTGCATAAAAGCTGACTATCTATGCACATCCTCCCCAGTGTTTACACAGACTGGTACCTGCAGGGCTTTCCTGGCTTTTCTTTTCATCCTTATTCATTCTTTTCTTTCCCTCTCCCCAACTCTCATGCAGAAGTACATGTGTCTGACTTTCTTCCTCTGCTTCTCTGTTTTCTCTCTGGGAGGACATAAACTCATGACAGATCATTTTTATGGCAAACTATACTATGACTGAGATGGGAGTCTGTTTGTTGTGGACATGCAACTGTAGTGGCTTCACACATCCACTCCAGGACCAATGAAGCATGTCTGTTGTCCATATGTAATAAAAAACACAACCAACTGACCTGAGCTCAGAGGGGCTCACAGAGACTGAACCGAAAACCAGGGAGTCTGCATGGGACTGACCTAGGTACTCTACATATATGTTACAGTTGTATAGCCTGGCCCTCCTGCATGACTCCTAATAGAGGGAGCAGGGGCTGTCTCCAACTCTTTTACTGGCTTTTGGGACCCTACTCCTTGCTAAGTCTTAATACATGGGGAGGTGCTTCATCTTATTTCAACTTGATATGCCATGTTTTGTTGATACTCATGAGAGAACTGCCCTTTTCTAGATAGAGACAGAAGAGGGGAGTGGAGGCTGGGAGTGGAGGAGTGGGGAAGGGACTGGGAGTGGAAGATGCGGGGAGGCTGCTGCCAGGATGTAAAATAAATAGATGAACAATAATAATAAAAAAAAAAGAATGCAGTTGTGTTCAGCTCTCAAAGCTTTCCTTGTTTTTTAACAACCCAGGGGATGAGGAAAGTGTTCCTGGAAAACCATAAAATGCCTCCAGAAAGTGCTTGCAACGTTCTTGTATCCCTCAAGACAGGTAGCTGAAGACCATGGATACTATCATTCTCTGGGGTTAGAAAGAGAAAAAGGTGTGGGGTGGGGGACATACTGAATACAAGTCACCTAAGGAAACTGGAAAGAAGGAAGAGGAAATCTCAGTTGGGAAGGTGACAAGGCTATTTGTAGAAAGACCTCGGGGGAGGAAGAGAGAAGTATGGTACTGAGATGCCAGCTCCTAACTCTGAGCCCAAGGCTGTGCACCCGGTTCTATGGCCCATGCTCAGCTGTTGTAAGAACAGAAAGCTGACTTGAAAAAAAGAAAAAAAGTAAAAGAAAGAAATATATGGTGCATCTGAAGATAGAGAGTGGAGTGTAAGAGATTGTACACATTGGGTTTAGCAATGGAATGCATGAAAAAATCAAGTGTGTTGAGTAGGTGTCTTAGCTACTGTTCTTTTCCAG